TATTTCATACACTTTGGTCTAAATTTGGGGAAATAACAAGTGTAGAGGAAACCTTTACGATTGATTATGAAAATAAAATATGTAACTATATATCATTGTCTTTTCACAAATTCAACAAGTTACGTGGTTGAAATAATTTTGGAAAAGGTGCAAAACACATTAGCACTAAAAAAAATTTTATGACCAAGATAAATACAAACTCCTTCACTTCTCATATACCAGGCCTGTGTAAACTTTCTCAGTCCACCTCATCGCCTGAAGAAGACTAGCAATATGCTGTCGAAACATTACAATCCATGTCTAAAGTGATCACGTTGTAGGACTAGTGATTACAATCAGAACCTGTTTTGGGAATTCAATAGAGGGACAACCCCACAGTAAGATGTTGCCAACTTGTTACAATGAAAAAAATATCTTAAAAAAATCCTTATCTGCATTATCAGTTTTTCTACATCTATGTAGCTTTAACAAAACAAGCAATTATTTTTGTGTGATAACTTTGATTTGCTTGTGAAGATGAGAAAAATTAAATTGAGAAAAAAGGTTATGTGGCAAATGTGTTCACTGTTAAAGTTGTGTGTTTGTTTCGATTTGACAAATAAAGGTTGCCCCTCTTAGCCTGTGCATGCATTTCTGCCAACTATTCTAGCTATCCAAATTCATAACCAGCACACAGAGATTGAAATGTTACCAAATTCTTTACAAATGCTTGTTAACATTACGCGACCAAATTAATTTACCGCATAAAAATTATGAAATAAAAACGTCTGCTCATGCAGACAAGGCTTCTTTCAGGTCATTGCTATTAGTAAAAAAACCCTGTTAGATTTGAACTCAATCATAAACTAAAATGAAGCGAAATCCGACATCTGAAATATTCCTTTGTTCTCCACCATCTCTACGAGCTTGATGGATCGAGGTATATCAGAAGATGACTACATTATATAATGGCATTTCCACGGAAGACTTTGCTACCCGTCTAGATTTGTAATGATCCTGTTTAGGAGGCTATGGACATTTTCTAGGACAATTACATTTGATATAAAAGACAGTAAGAATTACTATTAAATTTAAATCTCGAAATTCCAAAAATGTTATCAGCATTGTAATGATTAGCTAAGATTCTACGATCGTTAATTACGTAATTTCCGTTTTGAGTCAAGTTTTTAACCCTTTAACTCCCAAGATCTCATTAGTAATTCTCCTTACTGTCTGCCAAATGATTCTCATTATGTTAGTTTGGAGAATTTGGTATTGGATAAACTAATTATCCCCAAATTGATATTTTCTTTATTCTTCTCACTTATCTGGTTGATATTGTATT